GGGTGGAAAGGAGGAGTGTGCTGTCACAGTATGGGGAGAGCAATTAGAGTCACATAACAATGTATGTATAAATTTTTGTATGGGAAAAAATAAAAAAAGAAAGTTCACTCTAGTAGAGTGCGGATACTGAATTAGAGGAAGGTAAATCAAGGACACCAGTTAGGAGCTGCTGTGGTAATCACTGTGAGAAGCAAGAAGTGTTTGGATTAGGACAGTGGCAGAAGGGCTAAATAAGAGGAGATAGATTTAAGAGAGATTTAGGGGATAGAATTTACAGGATTTAGTGATTAAATATGTGCATCTAGAACAGTGCACAGAAGGTGGTAGATGCTCAGTAAACATTTGTTGTATGTATGGATGAATGGGATGAAAGGGAGAGAATGAACTTTCCAGAAGGACCTGGAAAGTTCTATCCAAATTGCGCTTTGAAGCAAACAGGTCTGAGATAATAGCTCAAATGGTGCTAATTTCTAGATCTAATCAGCAAACTAAATGTGTGTATGTAAAACCAGAACCTTAAAAGGTGGGATTTGGGGAGTGAGATATAATTTAGTTTGTCTCCCACTGTTTATTTAAACCTACTCCATAAGACTGCACCTCTGTGAATTTTCTGGTCATTTTTAGGTAGCAACCAGTACTCATCACTTTAAGTTTCATTTTCATAATTAAACTTTATCTATGAAACCAAATGGACAACAGTTACTCTAAAGCATGGATGAGAAGGTTGAGGGACAGTGAGACTAAGTTTACGGGAATGGAACAACTAGAACGGAAAAACGAGAATTTTGATACAATGTGAAGAATGCAGCCAATGTCATTAAACATTATGTACAGAAATTATTGAATGGGAACCTGTTTAGCTGTGTATACTTTCACCAAAAATACAATAAAGTATTTTTAAAAAATAAGCATTTTTACTGAAATTTCATCAGGAAAAAATAACTTTGTTATTTTAAGTTGGAACGTCTTTGTATTACCTACTCACCTACCTTTCCCACCCATCCTTCCTATTAACACAATTTTTATATATAGTGAGGTTCTGTCAATGCAACCAGCATACCACAGCAGAAAAGACTGACTAAATACTCTGTGGTGCAATATAATTCCTCAAGCACAGTACAGAATAAATTAGGGTGCCAAGTTAGTCAATATTAACTTTTAAAACAAAAAAATACAGGGGATTATATTTATCGGAAATAAAAAACTGCCTTAAAATGTTTTAATATATAAAAAGTATGTTTTAGGAAGGCCTAGGATATCTCCAAAGTCTCATCAAGGAGCCATCAATAAAACGTAAATTATGTAAAAGAAACTGGAATCTTTGTCATATTGTAATGATAGATGAGACTGGAAAAGAGGTGGTCTGCTTATACTAGAGAAGAAAAGACTTTGTCAGCATGTATCTATCACTGAATTAGGAAATAGGCTATGCTAATATCACATGACTTGTCCCAGGCATTCAGAAAAGAAATATATTGAAAGAAGAAATAACCATAACTTGATTAAAAAAATATTCTTTAAAGAACACTCAGTGCCCTTTGATTCACTTGAGTCTTCTTCTGATCTATGATTTGGTCTCCTGAGCATGTCAAGTCACCAAAAGGGACTAGCTCATGTAAACAAACAGGTCTGGTAACCTGTTTAACTGACATGTGGCAGTTAGTGCTCTGAGTGTTTGTTTGAAAGAGTGCAGTTATCACTCTTAATTACAGTTGACAGTTCATATTTCCAAAATACAGAGAGGTTTTATATCAAATTTACATATTCAGAGCAAACTTCATAGAGCAATACTCCTAGTTATCACTATCTCTTTAAGTTACATTAAGTGAATAATAGAGTACTGTCTACTTTATAACATTAATAAGTGAAGACATCTTTATGTCATGCTTAATTTTTCAGTAATCCACCTGCTTAACTGAGCATGATCCTTGCTGAAGGGTGGCTCCATCTGAAGATCCAACTCTGCTTTGCATTGGGAATATAATGTTCTAAACACTTCAATCAGGACATCTTCTAGAATTACAGGTCCTAAAATTAATACGCAAATTTAAGGCAATAATTAATTAGCATTAGCAAATCATGATTATCTGACAATTGGTCCAATTAAAAGATGCTTTAAAGTTTTTTTTTTTCCAGAACCTAACTAAACTTCCCACATTGAGATAGTAAACAGTAAATAACTGAACAATGTTTATTTAAAGTATAGGTTGACATAATAGAAATATAGAATCAGGGGTATTTAACTTCTTTGAGCTTTGGTTTCCTCATCTACAGAATAATAACACCAAATGTACAAGGCTGTTGCAAGGTTTAGGAAAAATACTTGTAAGGTATTTAGCACAGTTTCTGGAATATAATGAGTATTCAATAAATGTTACTTGTATTACTACTACTGTTAATTAATTTAAATAATACTAAAATGCACAAGGCCAGACTTACAGCTTATTTCCTAAAAAAATTTCGTGAGCTTCATCTCTTACCATTTAACAGGTAAAATAAACTCTCGAAGCCATTGATATAACTCAGCTTAAGTTACTTTTATATTTTTGATTTTTATTTTAAGACTTTCTAAGAGGACTTAAACATATTTGCTAAAACATCTGTATATAATTTGATAACATTACATACGTTATGATTTCATTTTATGGTTGCTAATATTTTCTTAATTTTTGCCTCAGGCACCATAACTAACTTCCAAATAGATCTAATACATAAGAAATGTACACTGAAGGGAAAACACACAGAACAAAGGGGATATAGGGAAGGAAGCTGAGGGATATAACCCAAACACTTTTTCTTTTTTGTTCAAGTCCTTGAATTCTGTGAAACATAAAATAGTCATGACAGATCATAAATGTTTCAATTTCAGTAACTTAAACAACTTAGATAAGCTTAGATGGTGACTCCTCTGCTACGTAATGTTAATACAGGGTAGATGTATGATAACATACTGCTTGGATGCACACCTTTATCTTCTTAAATATCTAAATTTTACATAAGAAAAATGTTGAGAATCTGTGTTTAAAGTCTACTTAAAAATAAAGTAATTTTTCTATGTAATGACTTGTCTTCTCATTTTTATTATGAAACAATACCAAACAACCAAGTGTGACCATATGCCCTAGGATAGTATATATTACCTAGCTCAGGTTTGTCCAGTAAACTGATTAAAATCCGAAATGGTTTTAGGTCCTGCATTAGTGTGCTCTCTTCTCCAAACCCATTCACTTGTAAGATTCCCACCATTGCCTTAAAAAAAAAAAAAAGAAAAAACAATAGTAGACTAATCATTTAAGTAAACAGACTCACATGCTTTTTCTTAAGCAAAAATATTTTTAAATGCAACCATATGTAATGGACATTTACATCCTCTATTGCTTTTCTGAGGCCCTTTCTCCCAGGCTGGCATTCTTCTTATGGTAGGAAAAAAAAAATGTTACATTTATCTATCTTGAGAGAAGAAAATAGTGCTTAAATTTTCTCTGGAGGAACAAATGGAAGAGTAGAAGAAAATCTAGAAAAAAATATTCATGACTTATTTTTTTGCCCACGAGATGAAAATATTTTTATTTAAGATGACCAACATGTCCTAAAGTATGCCACAAGATCATTGCAATATCTGCTATTATGAAATAATTTTCTCATTAGGGATTCAAAACCAACTATATTCTTATAACATCACTCATTTTAAAATGGTTCAGACATCATTTTTTGTTTCTTTTTCTATTGCGCTTTAGGTAAAGTTTACAAACATTTATATACACATTCTTATGTGTCCCTAGTTTCTAACCCTACAGTGTGACCACACATTCCTCCTTTCCATCCCAGATTTCCCGTGTCCATTCAACCAGCTCCTATCCTTTTCTGCCTCCTCATCTCGCCTCTGGACAGAAGCTACCCATTTAGTCTCGTGTATCTACTTGAACTAAGAAGCACACTCATCACGAGTATCATTCTATATCTTACAGTCCGATCTATTCTTTGTCTGAAGAGTTGGCTTTGGGAATGGTTTTAGTTCTGGGTTAACAGTGAGTCCGGGGACCATGTCTTCTGGGGTTCCTCCAGTCTCAGTCAGACTATTAAGTCTGGTCTTTTTACTAGAATTTGAGCTCTGCCCGCCACTTTTCTCCTGTACTGTCAGGGCAAACACTATGTATTTTTCTCAGTTTATTTTGAGGTGTTTTGAATAAATAATGGAATTAAAAACAAGATGAAATAAATACATGGATCGCTTTAACATTTCCACTACAATAGCAGTTCTATCACATTTAGATTTCTGTTACAGCCTAAATTTCTCTGGGGTCTCAGAGGAAATAACACTGGTACTGATCCACTTTTAGAAAAGCTTCAAATTTTATAGGGCAGACAGGTGAGAAGTTGCAACTGTATTTTAATAAGGTCATGAAGACCACAAAGTAAAAATAAGAAGAACAAAAAACAAGCAACTCTGGCCTTACAGGGAAGACAGTCTGGCTTATAATTATTTTATTTTAGTCATGAGTTTATTTTAGTTACTCTTAAGAAATTTGTGGGTCTAGTCTCTACCCCCTCAAACTGTGAATTCAACTAAGGTAGGACTTTGTCTTATACTGTTTCAGAAATTCTAGTGGCCAGTGAGTAACCAAAGAGTAAAATGAAACTATTCATTACCTGGACCAACAATTCTTTTGAAAAGGTAGTGAAATAGTAAGTGGCATGTTCTTCAGGATTACTGTGTCTTGTGCTTCGGGGTCCTATGACAGCACCGTTGTTATCAAAACCTCCATGGAAACAAATTGCAAAATAAATTAAAATATAATTCTCAAAACTGTTGTTCACTAAATACCAAAAAAGCAAATATCTCAAAAACAGCACTAAACACTTACCAATTTGTAGCCCATTCAATGTCAGCAAGAGAGATCATTTTAGATAGTTTAATAAAGGGAAACCAATTCAACACATAAGTATCATAGTATTCCTCCAGAATCATCCTGTTTTTTCAATCTTTCAAAACAGTGAAATAACTGAAGACTCACAAAATCCAAGATTAAGTTATATTTGTTCTCTCTCACTCTTGGTGATAAAGAGTTGTGAAGACAGGTCAACCACTTACAAAAAGTATGGAAGACCAAAGCAGAATGCTTAACTGCCTGAGTAGAAGACTGGTACCACGTGTAAGATAGCAGGGCTTTGAACCGGTTTGAACTGGTTCAGTCATGGCCAATGAAGCAAAACTGAAAGATACCTGAATTGTTACAATTTGGGGGACCTGGAACTATAACCAGAATGGGAAAAACTACAAGTTGAAGCCTTCGAATGGGAGACTCTCAAGAGGCGCAGTGAGCCCTTTCAGGAGCCTGATGCATGAGACTGGATTATTGACAGGACTGCAGAGAGCAACACACATTCAAAGCAGTGAGGTCAGTCACCATCTTTAAGTGAGGCACTGCTGCTTCTGACTCTGCTCAAAATCCGAGCGGCAAGAGATTTGGTTGCTATGAAACACGTACACTGGCCTTGTTTTCTAAGAGGGAAATTAAGTTTCTAGCAGGGCTTCAACCTATAATTTTTCCCATTCTGTTTATCATTCTGGTTCACCCAAATTTTTAAAATTCAGATCTGTTCCGGTTTCATTTTCTCGGCCATGAATGAACCAGGCAGAACTGGTTCGAAGCCCTGTGAGATAGTACCAGTTTAATTTTGTCTTTGGTCATGATTATTCCTTCGATGACTTCAAAGTTTTGGAAGCTATGTCATTATTTTGATTATTAATTCATCCTTGTCTATTTACTTATAGAATAACAACCTCAGTTTGTAACGGGAAGAAAATCTTTTCAAAGGGAATATGATTATATGGATTCAAACAGCCTCTTCGACTAAGAAGTTTTTGAGATTTCCTTATAAAATACACAGTTAGTATTGCTTATATTTTTATTGTTCATATAATCAAACTTTGAGTTTCTTCATTTCGGACATACACACAACTTGGTAATAACTATTTATAGCAAATTTTCTTCCATACTATTCCCAACTGTGACCACACACACCACACACCTACCGAGAAGCCATGCATAAAGTCTTCGGTTCAGGGACATATCCCTCCTTAGTACTACATGAAGAGCTGCGGACAAAATCCTGATCATATCTGGTCGAGTGGCCTGAAAAAGTTAGGAATGTGGCTGTCCTTAATCACACGCAAAAACATATAAAACACATTAATTTCTTTCCTCTTTAAAAAATAATACCTTGAAATATATTCAGAACTTTAGGGTTTATAAACTGTTTTTATAGAACACTATCTTCATTTGAGAAAATTAAGCCTTTAGTCTTTCACATTCATAGTGTTGTCAATTGACTGTAAACTCCTTAGAAGTTCACTATCTTCATCAATTCCAAGTTCTTTATTTCTCCTTTTAAAATAATTTTTTAACTTGTATTTCAAACATATAGGAAAGTACAGAAAATATAATGAACTCTCATCCATCCATCATCCAGCTTTAACAAATTTTAATATTTTTCCATTTTGCTTCAGGGCATAATTTTCTTGTATGTGGCCCACCTTGCTCCATTTTCTTTGTTTGGTGTCAGACTTTCTACTGTTGGATAGGATAAAGACCTTTAAACTGTAGGTTAAAATAATTTGCTTAGGTAAATTCAAATGGCTGGTTAGTGGCCCAGCTGGATGGAGAACTGACCTCTCCTTAATCATAAACCAGTGAACTTTATACTACACCATACTTTTTGACAGGATTAGAAAGAGATTCGCCCAGATAAGTTCTTTTTAAAGGAATCTAAGAGAAATAACTGACATGTTACAGAACACAGGTCATTAACAGCTGACAAATTATATTTACTTATCTAAACACAGATATCTTCTATTAATCTAGGTAATTCTCCAAGACCCTTTCAGGAGATCCACAAGGTAGAATCTATTTTCATAACAATACCAAGACATTATTTTGTCTTTTAAAAAATTTTTTAGATTATTGGCAGGACTGTATTTACGTTTGTTCTGATCCTGTAAAAGCAATGGTGGGTAAAACTGCTGGCTCTTTAGGATGAAAAAAAGGCAGTACAGCAGCAGCACCCACTGTACTCACAGTCATTGTATTCTTTACTGCCAATTATTTGCAGTTCGAAAAAAAAAGGAAGAAAGCCAGTTTCACTTAAGAATGTTATGAAACAGTAAAAATTTCTTATACTAAATATTGACCCTCAAGTACAAGTCTTTTAATATTCTGTGTAGTGAAACAGGAAGTACACATAAATAAGCACTTCTAATGTATACTGAAGTATGACAGTTGTCTCAGAGAAAAGTACTTGTACAACTGTTTGAGTTGTAAGCTGAATTACCAGCTTCCTTTTGTTTTTTTTTTCTTTCAGATAATACCATTATAAAAAAATGACTGACAAACTATGATTACTCATACTTGGGCACTTGGTAGACATTTTCTCAAAAAATAAAGTGGGCCTGTCACTTCAAGGAAAACAATTAACATTAATCTTTGCAATGATAAAATGTAAGCTTTCAAGAGAAAATTAAAAGTTTGGGAAATTTGTATTAGACTTGAAATTGTATTGAATTAAATTGTGTTAGCTTGAAAGCTTCTCAACACTGGGCTTGAAAGTTTCCTAATACTTAAAAGACTTATGATGTGATCAGAGGGGATAATAATAAATGTAATTATTTGATATTATATAATGAAATATGTCAACATTTGGAAGATCTACATAACTCAGTAAACCAGTATTTTCTAAATAACCAATCATAACGTTGTAAAATCATGCATGTGTAAAAGATCAATTAAAATACAAGACGTATTTTTAATGAAATAGTCTATAAAAAGTTCATTGATACGGTTTCAGATTCCATATTGCAACTAATTTTTAAGAAACTACTGCTTGTCAAGTTTGAGTGTAGTATCGAAGAAAAAAATGTATTTTTAAGTTACAACTACTGAAAATACTCCTTCCTTTTCCAACAGCATATCAGTGCAAGGTCATATTTTTTCATATACTTGAACCAGAACAAATCACAACAAATTGAATGTAGAAGCATATAAGACAATTCTGCTGTCTACTATTAAGCCAGATATTAAAGAGATTTGCAAAAATATGCTACTCTTCTCCCTAATTTTTTTTTTGTGTTGGAGACCCTGAAGCCAAGGCATTTGAGAACTGCTTATCTTTCTACGCAATATCAGATATGTAGATTATAGATATTGGTACAAGAATTTTAAAAAGTACAAATGTCTCCCAGTCTTATTTTGGGAGAAAAACTACTCTTAAGAAAGCCAGAAGTCATTTCTTGATTTCTCTTGAAATCACCACCCATGTCTAATATGGAAAGAATCCTATTATAATCTCAAAGATCTAGAGATCAAGATCACCTTTCCATGATATAAGTAAAAGGAAACTGACAGTCTGTCCACACTGTGCTGAAGTTCCTACCAGTATTCACTCTTTCAGGATAAGGTAATGAAGTCTCTGTTAAGTTACAGTTGCAATCAATACTTGTGAAAAGTCTATTATAAACAAGACTTGGAAAGAAGGAAAAGTGAGAAACAAAGGTGACTATGCCATGATCCTGCCCCCCACCCAAGCAACATGATAATTTGGCACAGTAACAGGGGAGAGAGTATTATAATTGGGTCTGGGGAGGGTGTGCACTTTCAATAAACATTCAAAATAGCTATTGTTTTCATAATTCAAACCATCAAAGGTGACTCTTGAGAAAATCTTAGCTAGCAGGAATGCAGAGAAGGCGGAGAAAGAAAGTACTGAAGGAAGTACAGGCTGAAAAAAAGAGTGAGAAACACTGCTCTAGTGAGATTACAAATTAAGTTCTTCCCAATTTAAGTATACCATGACTTAATTCCTTGGGACTTGATGAGGCACCTGTCAGCCCACTAAGGGACTAATAATGTTGAAAGTTTGGAAGGTAAGAAAATAATGAGAAAGTTCAAAAGCAGAAGTCAGCAAACTTTTCTGGTAAAGGCCCAGATAGTAAATATTTTAGGATTTGTGGGCACATACACTTTTTGGGCATACTCTTCAGAAAGTCTCAAAATGGAAACTGGGGGTGGCTTACGCCCCAGGTAGGGACACTATGGAAACCCTGGTGGCAGTGATTAAGTGCTACTGAGACCAGCTAGGGGCAGAAAAGACCTTAAACGACAAGTTATCTCTGTTAAAAATTTTGTTTAGAAGAAAGATGCAAATGTTATTGGCTTCCTCCACATCAGTCCGCCTGTAGCTGTCTTTCAGATTAGCCAATTAGAACTTGAATCCTGGGCATGCGCAGTAAGAGACCAGGTCAACTGTCAGATGGCCTCATCCCGTAAGTGTTGCCTAAGAACCGAAATCACCGAACATAAGTCATCCAGCGGTGACCGTGCCCATTTCTGAAGCGAGAAGTCCGTCAGCCACTTCCATGCCAGAATCCTACCCTGACCCCCTTTTTTAAAAATATGTATGAAGTTAATGGATATGTATGACTTCCCCTTTCCCACGTGATATGAAACTGCACCCCCAGCCCTTTGTTCCGAGAGGGTGCTTTCGGGGAGGATCACCCCTCCTCTCCTTACTCGTCGCGAGTAATAAACTATGCTTTACTTTAAATCCGCTTGACTCTTAGTTACTCTTAACAAGAGTACAAGTGGCGAACCCATTGCGTTCAGTAACACTACGGCTGCTAACCAAAAGGTCGGCAGTTCGAATCTACCACGCACTAAATTCTTGAATTATTAATAGTTCAATTTTAAATAGAATAAAAGATAGAAAAATGTCAGCATGGCATATTATTATAAAAATTCACTATGGTTATCTATTACCTACTGTACTAGTCTTTTCTGCTAATTCCTTTTTAAAAAATAAACTTACTTTTCCAAGGTATAAATGCTCTGTATCTGATTACTCACTGGGTATTTGGTTCTACCATTCTGAATACTAACATACTGGTGCTCTAAAGCACTCCTCATCAAGGGTTCAGAATGCAAAGGAATTTAGATTACTTCTTTAGATAATGAGGAAGCTGATTAAGTTTCAGCAATGAAACACGTCATTTGTGATTTGTCAAGTCAGTTACTCTCATATGTAATGAAAGTACTAGAGACTGTCACTAAATATTTGACATTCAACTTGGCTAAGGATCTGACATGCCTCCCACAGTCACCAAAGCAAGACAAGCTAATATTAGGACAGATGATGCCTGGGTACGAAGGTCAGGGTCTTGGAGTCTTCGCTGACTTAGAGCTTACACTGACTACCTCTTGCTTTTTTATAGGTAACTTCTATTATTTTTTTTAAAGGTATGAAACAATCTATTCCAATTTCCATACTCTTATTCAAGTCAATTAACCTTTTTTCTTCAATTTTTTCACAAATACCACTCTTAAAAAAAAGAATGCAACATATATACCTTTAAAAAATAACTATACATCATGATTCTATGATTTTCCAAAGAATGCCTTATATTAATATCATCATTAATGTTTTACCTGACTCATGTGGAATGGAAAACAGAAGAGTATGAGGTCCAGTGTGCTTCTCTGCACAAGTACACTAGAGTCCTGCACCGAAGTACTTACTGCTTCTACCTGAAATTAGAGAGGCTTTACCATCTGTCATCTATTACACTGGGAAAATTTTGCCATAAAAATGTAACAATTCTTTACTTTCTCCAACAAATCAAAGTATGCATCTCGGCATCTAACCAATAATTAAATCTATCCACAATATTTTGACTACACAAATATATTATGATGGCACAAAAATTCACAAGAACTAAAAGATATACAGTGAAAAGTCTCTCTCCTATCTCCATCTCCCAACCACCTAATCTCCCTTTTTGTAGACAACCAGTGTTACCAGTGAATATTTTCTGCAAATACAAATAAAAATACACATTCATGTGTCCCATAAAAAGTAGCACATTGAACACATTGTTCGGCATCTTGCTGTTTTTTTGTCTAACGATATATTTTGGAGAATTTTCTTTATCATTGTATAAAGAGCTTCTTTTTTCTTATGGCCAAAGTATTTAATTTTATAGATGAACTCTTATTTAACTATACACCTACTGATGGACATTTATAATGTTTCCAAACTTTCACTATTATAAATAAAGCTCTATTTATGAAGATGTTACAAATACAGTTATGTAACATACATCTGTAGGATAAATCTCAAGAAGTAGAACTGTCAGGTCATGGGATATACGCAATTGCAATTTAAACAGTGTTTTCACTATTTGCAATTTAAATAGTGCTTTCTATTAAGATTGTATCAATTTATATTCCCACTAGCAATGTGTGATAATTTGTTTCCCTACGTACTCACCAGAACATACATATACATATATTTTATTTATTTATTTATTTATTGACCAATCTGATAAATGGAAAATGGTATCTTGGGGTAGTTTATATTTTTATTTTTCTTATTACAAATAATGTTGAGCATCTTCTCATGTGTTTGAATTATTTTTATTTCCTTCAATTTAATTATTTGTTCAAATTCATTTTTCTGCCCAGTTGTTAATATGTATTTATTGTGCCTCTATGAATACTTGATCAGTCCTTTGACTATGATGTGTTGCAAATATTTTTCCAAGTATGCTATTTGCTTCTTAAAGAATAAAAAATAATTAGTTTAAAACTTTCATTAAGTCATTAAAAGGAAATATAACAGTATATTTAAGACTCTACATAAAAATGGTATAGCCACTTTGGAAAAGAGTTTGGCAGTTTCTTATAAAGTTAAACATTCCCTAGAAAAAAAATGTAGGAGTAAATCTTCAAGATCTTGGATTAGACAATGGTTTCTTAGATATAACACTCAAAACACAAGCAATAAAAGAAAAAAAAAACAGATGAACTGGACTTCATCAAAATTAAAACTTCTGTGCTTCAAAGGACACTGTCAAAGTGAGAAGATAATCCACAGAGGAAAATACTGCAACATCATACATCTGATAAGGAATTTGTATCCAGAATACATAAAGAACACTTATAACTCAAAAACTCAAAGTAAACAAAATTTTAAAAAATGGGTGAAAGATTTGAATAGACATTTCTCCAAAGATATACAAATGACCAATAATCACATGAAAAGATGCTCAATCTCATTAGTTATGAGACAGATGCAAATAAAAACCATAATGCGCTTACATTTCATTATAAACAAAAAGATGGACAGTAACAAGTGTTGGTGAGGATGTGGAGAAATTGGAGAGCTCATACATTGCTAGTGGGGATGTAAAATGGTGCAGTAGCTTTGGAAAAATGTCTGTCAGTTCCTCAAAAGGTTAAACAGAGTTACTGTATGACTCAACAATTCCATACCCAAGAGAACTGAAAACGTGTCCACACAAAAAGTTGTACATGTATGTTCACAGAAGCAGTGAGTATGGAGTTTCTTTTTTGGGATGATGAAAATGTTCTGGAAATAGATAGGGGTAATATTTGCACAACTTTACAAATATAATAAAAATCACTGAATTGTACAATTTAAAAGGGTGAATTTTATGGTATGTGAATTATATCTCAATGGTACAGTTCTACTCTGTTCTGTAGGGTCGCTATGAGTTGGCACTGATGTGACAGCATACAACAACAATAACAACAAAGCCATTATAAAAAAAAGTTAAAGATACATTTATCATATGACCCAGCAATGCTATGTCTATGTATTTTTCCAAGAGAAATAAAAACATATGTCTATACAAAAACCTGTATACAAAAGTTCATAGCTTTATTTATAATTGCCAAAAACTGGAAACAACTTGAATGTCCATTAACTGGTGAATGAATTAAAAAACTGTGATATATTCACACAATAGAATACTATGCAGTAACATAAAGGAACAAATTAAATTACTGCTACATGCAAAAACATCTGTATCTCAAATATGTTATGCAAAGTGAAAGAAAGGAGACTTAAAGGCTGTGTATTATAGGACTCCATTCACATGACATTCTGGAAAAAAACTATAGGAAAAGAAAACATCAGTGTTTGCAAGCGGTTGGGAGTGTAGAGGGAGGAGAGTGACTATAAAAGATTACAAGATGACTTTTTGGGGTGATGGAAAGGTTTTTATCTTGATTGCGGTGACTATTGATTACATGACTATGGACTGGTTAAAATTCATATAACTTACATATAAGAAAAGGTTAATTTTACTGTATATAATTATATTTTAATAAACTTGACTTAAAAATCTACATTAAAATATCTGTCATTTCATAATCATGGGGAAAAAGTTAAATAACAATTGATCAAAATGCTTTTAAAAACTTTCCAAAATGACCTTTCAGAGTTTCTTTGTTTTTTACCATTTGCTCATTTTAAGAGTACAGCACTCTATAGAGATAAAAGATTTCCTTCTGCTCTTAACCTTGGAATTAAAAAGCATAAATGAGCAATCAATATGATTTTCTATCTGTCCCTGTTTGCTTTAGTACTACATTCTCTCAGGTGAATCCCATACAGGCTCTAGCTATTACCTTGTCTAAAATGTTTCATTTCTATTAAGAAGGCCATGACCACAGAGAAGGTCCACTTTGGAATAATATAATAAATGTGGGCTATGTTAACAGTGGTTTGATCTTTCAGCAAGATGGTAATAATAAAGACCATTTATTTGCCTGAATAACAGATAATGCAGATAACTGATATAAATAACAATTTCTTTTCTAGGAAAAAAAATTATTAACTTTTAAAAACAATAATCATTGGTTATTTTAATCTTTAATTTTCCTTGATGAAGAATGTAAGCTCCATGAAAACAGAAACTTTGTTCATGGTTCCATCTTCATTACATGCCTGAAATAATGCCTGGCTCTAAAGAAATATTTGCTAAACAAGCAAACTATACTTTTAGACCTACCATTAGCTCAATATCACTGCCAATTATATACAGTTGATCTTCCATGGAAAGCTTCCTGTTCAAATGGGAGAGAACATACGTGATTCCAGGTAAACGCACTGTAGGACTGGTGAGAAGACTACCCCAGAGGGCACTGTAGAATGCTGACTGGTCCACTGCAGCAGCGACCTTTTCCAACAATGTGTTTGTTCTGAAGTATGAAACAAAATGTTTTGAGAAGGGAAACATTTAGTTTCACGTTCTTATAAATAAATAAGTCATTATTCTCTTCTAGAATTTATGAAAGCATCCATGCTGTAGATACATGCTCTGCTTCGGAAATAAGTGTAATAGACTAGAAGCCGCACATGAGGTGACTGGATTTAAGTACCAGGGCCAACGTTTATAACCATGTAACTTTGGGAAAGTCGTTCAGTCTTTCCACAGTTTCCTTATCTGTAAATTGAAGATAACAACAACAAAAACAACACAAATTCTCTCTACCTCACTGGACTGTTACACCACTCTAGTGGTTTAACTCTAACAAAACATATATATTTTAGTTAATAGTAATCTTATATCTTCTTCACAAAACCATAAAGAACTTTAGCAAATGTTTTCTTCTTATATATTGGAAAACCATACACTATATAATTTACAACAATTTTAATAAATCAGACCTACAACGAAATTAAGGATGTATTATTGCTTTATTAAGGACTAAATTTAAATACTAATTACTTTTTATCTATTTTAAACATAAGATAAACAATATTATATATAAAAATCTATTACAGTGTAATATAGTAGAATAAGAATCATGAGACTTTGATAAGTTCTACTGTTTACTTGCTACGTGATTTAATGCTAGCACTGAAATCCCTTCTGGCCTCAATTTTTTACATATTAAAAGAACATATTTACAAAACCTTTTTTTATAGAATTTGTGTATAATAACTAGCAAAATATAACAAGATAAATCACACAGGTATCACAGTTATCAAGATCATTATTCAATTTCTGTTGAATTTTTAATTGTAACTAATGGAGTTATAAAGTGGTATTGATTTTATGCTTCCCTTAGGATAATTAATATAACAATTTAAAACAAAACTGATATATAAACTAAATAAAATAATCTCACATTAATGTTCTAAAATTGTAGCAAATAAGTAAAAAGGTTAAGTTAATAAAAGCAAATTATAAGCTTTGAGGAAAAGAATATTTTATCTCTAAGTAGTTTATAAGAGTAATACAATATTTTCAAGATTTAGATCCTTACTGCATTATGGGAGCGGCTGAAATACAACGAAATAGAGTGGCTTGTAAATGCACCAGAATAAAGTATTTTAATTTAAATCATTAGGTTTACTCATAAAATAAGCTTGCAATTTTTCTTTTTGCCACCTCAACTCATTTGTTTTCTAAGAATATCAGTAACAATATATTAAAGATACTGAATGCCATCATGCATTGCCTACAATTATTAAATACCAAATAAGTAATAAAAGGCTCAAAAACAGATCAAATCATTTTCTTAGAAAAGTTATAATATCAAGAGTACCATGTCAACAATTAGTGAAATAGGACTTTAGTTGGTGCTAGGTTATTTTCCACCATTAACAATATAGAAATCTTTGCCACATGGCACATTTTCTTATTATTTTTATTAGTCTAAAGGTTCTTTTTGTTACATTATTTTAAATTATGAGTCCCAATCTTTTGAATGACTTCTATGTGCTAGGCATTGCACTAAGTTATTTCATTATTACAATAACACAATGAAATAAATATTAAGCTTATTTTGTAGCTGAGGAAATGGAGTAATTTGGGGAAGCATAAAAAGCTTGTCTAAGCTCACACAATACTTAGTAGAGCCAAGAGACAAACACAGTCCCTCTAACTCCCAAGTCTGTGCACTTACCACCTAGTTATATTTCTAGTATGGTGCACAGACTAGATACATTATAATGAATTTTTCTTGCTACACAAATCTTCAGATGATATACTGAAGTATCCAGATGAATTCACTTTAGTAATGCTAAAAGATAATAGATTTAAAGATGCTTGCTAACAAATACAATTACTTAGTTTGAATTAATTAGCTGCATGAATAGGTAGCACCATCTTACCTCTCATAGTATTCTGACCCTTCCTCTAAACCAGGAAGAATACCAGTTAGCAATCCTTGTAGACCAGGCTTCAGTGTTTTACCCAAAGGCAGGTAATACATCTCATACAAACTGAGCAAAGTTGGTTTCACAGACATGGCAGCATTTGCAAGAAGAGGAAATAATCCAGAACTATTTAAATATAAAAGGAGGGGGGAAAAAGAAGTAACATAATTACAAAATAGTAACTAATATGTATATACCTGTTGCCGACGAGTCGATTCCAACTAATAGCGACCCTATAAGACAGAGTAGAACTGCCCCATAGGGTTTCCAAGGAGTATCTGGTAGATTTGGTGGATTTGAACTGCCGACCTTTTAGTTAGCAGCCCAAACTCTTAACCACTGTGCCACCAGGGCTTCCATATGTTTATATATATATGTGTATATATATATATATATATATATACATGCATATATATATGAATCTTTTAAGAATTTTTTCAATGAAACAGTAAGGTATACAGATTCACTTTAAATGATATCCTATATACTGATAACTTCTAAATCCATTAAAACAACCCTGGTCTCTCACTGGAGCCCTGATGGCGCAGTGGTTAAGAGCTCAGCTGCTAATCAAAAGGTCGGCAGTTCGAATCCACCAGCTGCTCCTTGGAAACTCTATGGGGCAGTTCTACTCTGTCCTATAGGGTCACTATGAGTCAGAATTGACTCGATGGCAGTGGGTTTTTTTTGTTGTTGTTGTTGTTGTTGTTTTTGGTCTCTCACTTGAGCTTCATATTCATAAACCTAGCTGTTTTACAAGGTCCTCAAGTATCACAATTCCAAAACAGAATTTTCCCATCAAAGCCTGCTCCTTACACTGTAACTGCCATTTCAAAAACTGGCATCATCGAGGAGGGGCAAAATGGCAGTGTTAGCTGTTCCATGCCTCCATCCCCACAAAGAAACACACGTACACACGCAGAAACTGGCAGAACCAACTTTGTCAGAAATCTGGAAACCAATCAAGGCCAACTGAGCAAACACTAAGTCCAGAAAAAGATAAAGGCAGTGTCAAAGCTTTTGCTTTTTTACATGCTACTTAATCAAAGAGGCTACCTGAAGGACTAAAGCAAGGTGTTCATCTCTGTTTGGCCTATCTCAGTGCTCAGGCAGGGCAGAAAGTGTCTGGCAATGCTTGAAAACTGTAACTGCCTGTAGCCACCTATGGCTAAAGACGGCTTAAGCCTAAAAGCTAGGAAGAGAAGACTTGGAGACAGTCTTTGGGAACTTAGGACATTCAAAAGCACCATGTATACTGGGGAATTGAAAAAGCCAAATGCAAGGGCAAGACACATGCTCAGAAAATATCTGAGAAAACCCGATGCTTTCATTTTGAGCTGTTCTCTAGGCTCAGTGCAACCTAGCCAAGTGTTGAAGGAGTGCCCTAGCACCACAGAATCTAATCTGCAGGTTGAGAGAAGTGCTCTCCCACACCCAGCATTCAAGGAAATTTCTATCAAAACACTAGCTGAACATAAGCTAAGGAATAGAGATTTCAGAGTTTACACATAACCAGGAAGGCAACCTTTGCAAGAAGAGTAAGGGGAAGTGACTAAATGAAGGAACTACTACAGATTTCAATAATTTAAACATTCACAGACAAAAAGCAAGCAGTGATTGGTGAATGGGGAGAATTTGATTTCCAGAGTTATCACATTATAATATTTAAATGCTCAGTTTTCAACAACAATAACAAAAAAATCATAAACTGAAAAAAGCAAACTGAATCCAACAGCACACTAAAAGGATTGTTCACTAAGACCAAGTGGGATTTATTACAGGATGAAAGGGTTGTACAACAAAAGAAAATCAATAAATGCAATACACCATATTAATAGAATTAAGGAAAAACCCACATGAAAAACCCAATTGGTGCAGAAAAGACATTTCACAAAACCCAACACAGTTTCATAATAAAAACACTCAGAAAACTAGGAATAGAAAGTAAATTTCACTAACATGATAAAGGGCATTTATTAAAAACACACAGGTAACAAACATCACACTCAACGCTGGAAGACAGAAAGCTTTCCCCCTAAGATCAGGAACAAGAGAAAGACACCTGCTTTCACCACTGCTATTTAACACTGTACTGGATGTTCTAGCCAGAGCATTAGGCAAGAAAAATAAAAGGCATCCAAACTAGAAAAGAGGAAGTAAAACTATCTCTATTTGGAGATGATATGATCCTACATATAGAAAAATCCCCAAAACTACACAAGAAAGCCAATAGAGTTGATGAACGAATTCAGCACAGTTGCAGGGTGTAAGATCAACACACGAACATTAGTAGTGTTTCTAAATAACAGCAATGAACAATCTGAAAAGGAAATTAAAAAAACAATTCCATCTATAATAGCTGTCATAGATTGAATTATGTCCCCCCAATAATGTGTGTATCCATTTGGCTGGGCCATGATTCCCAGTATTGTGTGATTTTCCTATATGTTGTAAATCCTGCCTCTATGATGTTAATGAGGGAGGATGGGTGGCAGTTGTGTAAGTAAGGCAGGACACAATCTACAAGTTTGGATTGTGTCCTGAGGCAATCTCTTGAGATATAAAAGACAGAAGTGAGCAGAGAGACAGGGGGACCTCATACCACCAAGAAACAGTGCCAGGAGCAGAGTGTGTCCTTTGGACCGGGGGTCCCTGCACGGAGAAGCTCCTAGTCCAGGGGAACATTGAAGAGAAGGCTGACAGAGAGAGCAAGCTTTCCCCTGGAGTTGACACCCTGAATTTGGACTTTTAGCCTACTTCCCTGTGAGGAAATAAACTTCTCTTTGTTAAATTCATCCACTTGTGGTATTTCTGTTACAGCAGCACTAGATGACTAAGACAATAGCATCTAAAAAAATAAAATACCTAGGAATAAATTAAACCAAGGAGGGGAAAGACTTGTACACTGAAAACTGTAAAACATTGCTAAAAAAAATTAAAGGAGACCTAAATAAATGGACAGACATCCTATGTTAAAGAATAGGAAGATTTAATATTGTTAAGATGTCAATACTACCCAAAGCAATCTATAGATTCAATACAATCCCTATCAAAATTTTGACTGTCATTTTTGCAGAAATGGAAAAGCTGATCCTCAAATTCAAATGGAATTGCAAAGGACTTCAAATAGTCAAAACAAGCTTGAAAAAGAAGAGCAAAGTAGTTCAAAACACTGAAAAGCTACAGTAATCAAAACAGTGTGCTATGGGGAGAGGGCAGGCACGTTGTGGAGAATAGCACCAATGTCGTGGAACACTTTGTGTACAAACTAACGAACGGGAAACTAATTTGCTCTGTAAACTTTCTCCTAATGCACAATAAAAAATGTATTAAAAAAAAAAAAACAGTATGCTACAGGTATAAGGATAGACATACAGACCAATGGAATAAAATTAACAGTCCAGAAATAAATACATATAGAACTGATTTTTGACTAAGGGGCCAAATCCTTTTAATGGGGGAAAGATAGTCTCTTCAACAAACGGTGCTGGGACAACTGGATTTCCACATGCAAAACAATGAAGTTAGATACTTACCTCACACCATATTAAAAAATTAACCAAAAATGGATCAAAGACTGAAATTTAAGAGCTAAACCCATAAAATTCTTAGAAGAAAACATAGGAATAAGGCTTTGGAACCTTGTTTTTGGTATGAATTCTTAGATATAACACCAAAACACAAGCAACAAAAGAAAAAACAGATAAACTGGACTTCATTAAATCAAAAATATTTGTACCTTAAAAGGATACATTATCAAGAAAATGAAAAGACATCTTATAGAATGGGAGAAAATATTTGGTAACTATATATCTGATAAGGGTTTAATATCCAGAATATATAAATAATTCCCACAACTCAACAACAAAAAGACAAACAACCCAATTAAAAAATAGTCAAAAGTCTTGAATAGACATTTATAAAACGAAGATATACAAATGGCCAATAAGCACACAGAAAAGATGCTCAACATCATTAGTCATTAGGGAAATGCTAATCAAAACGATAATGAGATACCACTTAATAATGACTAGGATGACTATTATTAAAAAAAAAGAAAGGAAGAAAAGGAAAGGAAAATAACAAGTGTTGGTGAGGATGTGGAGAAATCAGAACACTCCTCCTATGCTGGGGGGAATGTAAAATGGTTCAGCTGCTGTGGAAAATAGTTTGGTAATCCCTCGATCAGTTAAACGTAGAATTATCATATAACCCAACGATTCTGCTCCTAGGTATATACCTAAAATAATTCAAAGCAGGAACTCTAACAGATACTTGTAGACCAATGTTCACTACAGCATTAGCCAAAGAGTGGAAACAACCCAAGTGTCCATCAACAGAAGAACGTATAAACAAAATGTGATATATACATACAACAGAATATTATTCAGCCATATAGAGAAATAAAGTTCTGATACATGCTATGACATGGATGAACACTGAGAACATTATGCTGAGTAAAATAAGTCAGACATAAAAAGACAAGTATTGTATGGTCCCATATGTGAAATATCTAGAATAGGAAAATGCATAGAGACAAAAGTTATTAGTGGTGAGGAGATGGAGCCAGCATGGCGCTGTAGACAGATGCACCATGCTGTCCCTCTGCAGCAAAGACCCAGAAAACTAAGTAAAACAGATACAAATGTCAATCCTGAAACCCTAAGCATCAAGTGAAGGGATAAAGAACTACATCGAACAACAAATGGAAAAAGAAACTGACAGAAAACAGAAAACAAGCAGAGATACGGAGTGGAGGTCTCCTACCAACTAACACAGCACAGCGCTGCCATCTTGGAACACAGCCACCAACAACCCCAGACAGAGAGTATGGGAAGACAACTTCACAGAACTCCCAACAAGAGAAAGAGCACCCAGTAACCAGAGAAACACACTTTCCCACTATTCACCGTTCTGCCCCTACCCTACCTCAACCCTTTGCCAACGGGCCACACCACACTACATGGCTAGAGAGTGACTAGCCCACCATCACCCTGGGTCTGCACAGCCACAATCTGCTGGCTCCCATTGCACCACTATTATTTTCCCTTTCTTTCTTTTCTTTCTCCGTCCTGCCTAGCCCCATATGCCACCTCCACCTCTGCATCAGGCAACACCGTGCCACA